AACTGATCCTTATCAAATTTCACTATATGTCTCGGAACATCGTTAGGTCTGGAACCTCATATATACCCGTCAAAAATCGGTGACAATTTTGACTTAACTTTTCTCTTGTTAATTAAAGACGAAAGGTCAAATTTTATCCCCTTAATCCTTATTAAGCTTTTTTTTTTTTTTTTGGTTGAGTGGCAACCCTATTTCTTCCTCCCTCATTTAATTAAGCGACTTCAAAAAAAATTTTGCCATTACCGATAACAAGTGTTTACCTTCATGATGATGAGTTATTCACTTCGCCGGTATGTGGATAAGTAAATAGAAAACTTTTTTTTTTTTTTTTGAATAATTTGTCAAAAAAATATACCTGAGACTCATTTCAAAATCATTAGTAGGTTATGGTCACCCAACCCAAAACTCCCAGAAATTCCTTTGTGTCTGTGTCAGAGCGAACATTTCGTTTTTTATTGTTATTATTTTATTGGTCCCAATGTCTGTGTCGGATGATATTTGCGTTTGCATTTAATTTCCTACGTTTTATAATTGTTGTTGTTGTTGCTGGAGGTCATCAACAGTGCGCTGGTGTTGTTGTTGGTGTGTTTCAAGAACAAAAGGATTTATTTTTTTATTATTTTTATTCGATTGTAATAAATAAATAAAAATGGATTTCTTTGCTGGAAGGCACGTTGCATTATCAGGGCAGATTTTTTTATTAAAGGTTTCAAGTGGCTCGAGTTTTTTTATATATAAAAATATATGATATATTAGTTGCTTGTAGGGTTTGTGACAAATCCAGCTCCACGCACCCTTTCCTTTTTCTTCTTCTTCTTCTTCCTCTTCCAAAAATCAAAATACAAACAAATTGTAGTTTAATTTCATATGTCTTTCATTTACCTTCAAAATCTCGTTCAATTATTAATCCTAGACAAGTGGTTCCAATGGAGAAAATATTCCGCATAAAATTTCACTATAAGGCTCCACACAAAGGATTTTTGTGGACCCAATATATACTCGTTAAAAATCGGTTACAAATTGAAAAATATTATTTTAACGTTAATTTTGTTCGTTTTTCCGATTCCAAGGCTATTTTACCCACAAAACCCGGTTTTGGGCCTATGACTCCAATGGAGAATATATTCTCCATAAAATTTCACTATAGGTCTCCACACTAAAGAATTTTGTAGACCCAATATAAATTCGTTAAAAATCGGTTACAAATATATTATATATATATTCCAAGGCTATTTTACCCAGAAAACCCGATTTTGGGTCTATGACTTCAATGGAGAATATAATCTTCATAAAATTTCACTATAGGCCCCCACACAAAAAAAATGTTGTGGACCCAATATATATTCCTAAAAAATCGGTTACTATTTGAAAAATTTTATTTTACGGTTAATGTTGCTAATATTTTCTAATTCCATGACTATTTGGCCCACAAAACCCGATTTTGGGCCTATGACTTCAATGGAGAAAATATTCTCCATAAAATTGCACTATAAGTCTCCGAACACAAGAAATCGGTATATATAGTATTATATATCAAAAAATTACACTCAAAAATCAAGGAAATATATATATTTTCGTATTATATATCAAAAAATATACCTCATCAAATTTCATCAAAAATCATATATACTTAAATTACTTTTGTAGGTATTTTTAGGTATTTTTGGGTTATTTTCGAAGTTGGCCAAAATCTTCCCTTTTATTTCATTTTAGAGATTTGATTTCAATGGAAAAAATATACCTCATCAAATTTCACTATAGGTCTTCGAACACAAGAAATCGGTATATATACTATATGCCAATAAAATATCGGTTCGTATTGTTCGAAAATGTATTTTGTAAAATTTCTTAACATTGTTTTTGGGTTATTTTCGAATTTTACCAAAATTTCGGCAACCACTTCATTTTAGGGACACGATTTCAATGGGAAAAATATTGCTCATCAAATTTCACTATAGGTCTCAGAACACAAGAAATCCGTATATATAATATATAGCAATAAAAAATCTGTTTATTTTCGGCTGTATTAAAATAATATTAATCTTGAGGTTATTTCTTGGAATAATTTCAATTTTTGCCAATATTTCACCCAATACTTCATTTTTTGGATTGGGTTTCAATGGAGAAAATATTCTCCACTAAATTTCACTATAGGTCTCCGAACATACGAAATCGGTATATGTAATATATACCATTAAAAATTGAGTCTAATTTTGTGTATAGTAAAAAAATATTATTTTATAGGTTATTTCTTGGAATAATTTCAATTTTTGCCAATATCTCACCCAATACTTCATTTTTCCGATTGGATTTCAATGGAGAAAATATTCTCCATTAAATTCCATTATAGGTCTCTGAACATACGAAATTGGTATATTTAATATATACCATTAAAAATTTAGTCAAATTTAGGGTGAATTAAAAATTATTATTTTATAGGTTATTTTTTTGGGATAATTTCAAATTTTGCCAATATCTCACCCAATACTTAATTTTTCGAATTGGATTTCAATGTAGAAAATATTCTCCATCAAATTTCACTATAGGTCTCCAAACAAACCATTTCACTAACCATAATATTAATAATAAAAAAATCAGTTGCAAATTGCTTATCAAAAATTCATATAAAAAATTGTATTTCATTTTTTTTTATTATCATTTCATAATTATTTGTTTACTATTATAATTAAATTTATATCTTATCTAAATTCATTTGACTTTTATGAATTATTGCTGCCATATCACCAAAACGATCATTTTCAAAAATATTTAAATGTAAATCAATTTTTGATAGGGTGATGCTGGTGGCATCATCATCCTCTTCATTTTTTATGGATTTTTTTTCGGCATTTTGTATTTGGGCTGGCATGATGGTGCCGGATGAGGTATCTGTTATTTCAATTGTCACTTGTGGTGGAGGAGCCTTAAAAAAATAATATTTTTATTTTCAAAATTATTAAAATGCCCCGATTTTGTTGAAATTACATACAGTTGTCACTGTTTCTTCATTGGTGTCAAAACTTTTATTAACCTCTCCAGCTGTCCATGATTTCACCGATTTGGTATCTGGCGATTTTGTGCGACAACAACAAAAACAGCACTTTAAGAGCATCATTATTTTAATTATTATTGTAAATATCGAATTTATTTTACACTATCTGAAAATTCAATCACTTTTGATCAGTTCCAAGGCGATTTTAATACTAGCATATTTTGATATATTTATCGGTATTGTTATTTGCGAATGCCGGCTGATATGGTTTTACACCAAGCTACAAAAAAATGAAAAAAATTTAATTTGTAATTTTTTTTTAACTCAAACTCAAATTTTAGAATTTGTTTTATTTTTTTATAAAAATTATAAAATTTTTTAATTTGTTTTTGTTGTTGTTTTGTAGCACAGTGTAATTGCTTATCTAAAAATAAATAAAACATGTAATAACCAAATCCACAAAATAACCCCCGTCATCGATATTGACTCATTTCAAACCACAGTAGTTACACTATTAAACAAAATTCATGTTCAATATAAAAAATAAAATACATTTTCAAAAAAAAAAAAAAATATTTTTTTAAGAAAATTAAAAAAAAAATAATTTTTGGTAGTTAATTAGATGTTAGGTTTTCGAATAAATGGCAAAATCTCCCTTAATACCTTATATTAGCCAGTCAATGTTAATGGACAAAATATTCCGCATCAAATTTCACTATAGGTCCCTGAACAAAATAAATCGTTAAATATAATATACGACCTTAAAAAATCGGTTCGAATTCGGAAAAACTATTTTATTATGATTTTGTAGATATTTCTGCAATCGTTTTTGAATTTTGCCAAAATCTCCCCTAATACCGCATTTTATGCGGATGAAGTCAATGGAAAAAATATTCCACATCAAAATTCACTAAAGGTCCCTGAACACAAGAAATCGGTATATATAATATATAACCATAAAAAATCGGTTCAAAGTCGAAAAAAATATTTTATTATGATTTTGTAGGTATTTCTGCAATTGTTTTCGAATTTTGCCAAAATCTCCCATAATACCGCATTTTAGGCAGATGAAGTCAATGGAAAAAATATTCCGTATCAAATTTCACTATAGGTCTCCGAACAAAAGAAATCGGTTAATATAATATATAACCATAAAAAATCGGTTCGAAGTCGGATTTGTAGGTATTTCTGCAATTGTTTTCGAATTTCGCCAAAATCACCCCTAAAACCGCAGTTTAGGCGGGTGAATTCAATGGAAAAATTATTTTACAACAAATTTCACTAAAGGTTCCCTGAACACAAGAAATCGGTATACATAACATAACCATAAAAAATGGCTTCGAAGTCGAAAAAAAAAACTATTTTATTATAATGTTTTAGGTATTTCTGCAATTGTTTTTGAATTTTGCCAAAATCTCCACTAATACCGCATTTTAGGCGATTGAAGTCAATGGAAAAAATATTCCGCATCAAATTTCACTATAGGTCTCCGAACACAAGGAATCTGAATATATAATAAATATAGTATTAAAATCGTTTCCAAACTCAGAAATATTTCTTAAAATTTTTTTTATTTATTTTACCTATTGTTTTTCAAATTTGCCAAAAATCCACCCTAATACATGATTTTTAGTGGATGGTTCTAATAGAAAAAATATTCTACACCAAATTTCACTATAGGTCTCGGAACACAAGAAATCTGAATATGTTATGAAAATAATATATAAATCGGTTTAAATCTCAAAAAAAAAAAAAAAAAAAATTCTAAATTCTGATTTATTTCACCTGTTATGTTCCATTTTTCCAAAAATTCACCCTAATACATGATTTTTTGTGGTTAGTTCCAATGGAAAAAATATTCTACACAAAATTTCACTATAGGTTTCCGAACTAACGAAGTGGCTATATATAATATTTAACATTAAAATAGGGAGATTTTTATTAATGATTTATTTTTTTATATTTTTTACAAACAAATCTAATTTTCTCTTTATTTTATACCTTCCAGATTCATTGCGGCCAACGTTATGGCAAAGATGATCTCATACGTGCCCTACTGCATAATCTCACACCCGATGTCTTCATACCACTCTTTTGGCGTACGGAAAAAAATTGTGTCATCTTTTTTGTGGATGATTATGCCATGGCATCACGTCTCATGCAATTGGATCGTAGCGTACAAATGTCCGATGGTTGTCGACTTGCTATTCGTGTACGCGAAAGTTGTCCCATGGTACCCGTCGATGAAGAATTTAAAGAAAAAATGAAATTGGTTATGGCCAAACGTTATAATCCGAATACCAAGGCACTCGACTTATCCAAATTCTATGCTGATCCAGATTTTCGTCAAACATTTGTGGGGTTGCATCGTACCGCTGTTATGTCGGCGGCATTGGATATTATACAAAAGAATATACCCGATTTGGAGGCGCTGAATTTAAATGACAACGATTTGAGTACAATGGAAAGTTTTCGTAATATTGAGACCAGATTGCCACATTTGAAGATCTTGTATTTGGGTGGTAATAGTGTAAGTATTGAGATTTCAAACCTTTTAATAATTTTTTTAATCACTCTCTCTCTCTTGCCTTATTTTCTAGTTACCCTCCTTGGCAACTTTGCTGGTGTTCCGTAATGCCCCCATCATCGAATTGGTTTTGAAGAATAACCCCTTACGGCAACGCTATAAAGATCATTCACTTTATGTCAGGTATCAAAATTTAATATTTCTCTAATTGTGCGATTATTTTTTTAAATTAATGGTTTTTTGTTTTTTTCTGTACGTGTGTGTATGTGTGTGCGTTGTCTTGTGACAATGGTAACACTTGGCTCTTGAGAGAGAGAAATTTACTACATGTAGCAGTTTGATGGCAACGAACCAACGAACTGTACCTGCGTGTGGTGGTTTGTAAGAGCATGGAGCAGTTAATGACAAAATTTCGTCTAGTGTGGTGGACCCATATGGAGTTTTTAATGTCGATCCTATTATTATTTTTAATTTTTTTTTATATTTTATTTCCTAAAAGGAACACTTCTAATCGCCACTAATTTTATTCTCTTTTTAATTTATTCTTAATTTCAATGCATTTTCTAATTTTTGGACACCTCACTTCGTTTCTGATCTAATAATTTTCCCATATATAATATATGGCTATATAATATATCTGTTCCAAATCGGTGGAAATAATTATCACACATTTTTGTCTCATTGTTTTACAATTTTGTCAAAATCCACCCTAATACATGATTTTTGCGCCATGGCTCCAATGGAAAAAATATTCTTCATCGAATTTCACTATAAGTCTTCGAACAAATAATTTCGGTATATAGAATATATAACATGAAAAAATCGTTGCCGAAATTAATATGTAAATTATAAATTGGAATCTATAAGGTTTCCTAAGGTTTCGCTTAAAATCTCCCCTTATACTACTCCTTAGGGATGTGATGTTAAAGTAGGAAATGTTCTTCATCGAATTACACTATAGGTCTCCGAACAAATAATTTCGGTATATATAATATATACCAAGAAAAAAAATTGTATACAAATTGACAGAAATATTTTTCAAAGATTTGCTGGCTAATTTTATGTATTACGTTCAAATTTGGTCAAAATCCACCCTAATACATGATTTGTGCGCCATGGTTCCAATGGAAAAAATATTCTTCATCAAATTTCACTATAGGTCTCTGAACAAAAGAAATCGGTATATATAATACATACCAATAGAAAATTGTTAAAAATGTCAATATATAATTGTTGATAGCGAAATCCATATGGTTTCCCAATTTGGCTAAAATCTCCCTTTATACTTCCACTTAGGGTTGTGATGTTAAAGTAGAAAATGTTCTTCATCGAATTTCACCATAGTTCTCTGAACAAAGAATTTCGATACAAATAATATATAACCAGAAAAAAATCGTATCCAAATTCAATTAAAGAATTTTCACAGATTTCTGACATATTTTATAAATTGGGTTCTAATTTGGCCAAAATCCACCTTAATACATGGATTTTGAGGGGTGGTCCCAATGGAAAAAATATTCTTCATCAAATTTCACTATAGGCCTCCGAACACAAGAAATCGGTATATATAATAAATATGCCAATAAAAAATCGATACAAATTTCAATATATACTTGTTGATAGATAAATCCATATTGTTTCCCAATTTGGCTAAAATCTCCGTTTATACTTCCACTTAGGGTTGTGATGTTAAAGTAGGAAATGTTCTTCATCGAATTTCACCATAGGTCTCTGAACAAAGAATATCGGTATATATAATATATACTAAGAAAAAAATCGTTTCCAAATTGGAAGAAATATTTTTCAGAGATTTCTGAGTAATTTTATATATTGCGGTCCAATTGGGCCAAAATCAACCCTAATACATGATTTTTGAGGAGTGGTTCCAAGGAAAAAAATTTTCTTTATCGAATTTCACTATTGGTCTCGGAACACTTGATTTACGTATATATAATATATAGCACGAAAAAAATATCATTTTAAAATTCAAAAGAAAAAAATTGTTTTTAATTTTTTGAAATAGTATTTCTTTTTGTTTCGATATACATTTTTGAATTTTTTCTTCCTTCCAATCAGGTCTAAACAAGGTTACAGATTTTTGAAAAACAATTAGATGATATTATAAGAAGAACGTTTTTTAAGAATTATTTATATTAAATCGTGAAACACATAACCTCAAAGTGCTAACACAACTGTTTTAATTTTCTTTGAAATATTTAGAAAGCAAATACATTTTCCTATAATAAATATGGGATGTAATTTGAAATCCTCCTAGAAAAAGGCCTAAAGGGGTTTACGGAGAAAATAAAAAAAAAAAAATACAAAAAAAAGAAAAAAAATAATAAAAAAGAAAACAAAGAAATGAGAAAAAATCAAGAAAAAAATATATTTACGAGTGGCAATAAATTTGATTGCTTGATAATATATTTGTGTTTTCTTTTTATAAATGAAAAATTATAATATAAATAATAATTAAGACCCCCATGAAGCCGCCCACAAACAAACACCACCATTTACAAATTTATTTGTGTGGTTGTTTTGTGAAAGGTTTTTTTTTGTTGTAAAGCAATTTGTGTCATACATAGTGTTGGGTATCCCTATATCCTTTTGTAACAAGGATATTGCAAAGAAAACCACACTGCACAATTGTTAAAAAAACTGCACAGCGGTTTTGGGAATTTCCCAAAATAAAAAAAATGTTCACCCCACACCCTAAACACAATGTTTTGTTAGAAGATTAAAAAAAATGGTGTGCCAACCCTAACCTATATTTTTTTAAAGGTTAGAAATACACCAAAATTAAATCCTGGAGACATTGTTAACTTTGGGTGAACTCTTAAAATAAAATGGGGTTAATAAAAACAATTAAACTATAAATAAAAAATTAAATTATAAAAAGAAATAAATTAATTTTAAAAGATAATAAATTATAAATTAAAAAAAATTATATAAATTGTAAAAAAATTAAATTAAAAAAATATTGAATAATAAAAATTAAAATATAAAAAAAATAAATAAAAATATAATATAAAATAACAATAAAAAATATACAAGAAATAAAAAAAACCTATAAAAAAAATAATAAAAAAAATAATTTTTATAAAATTATTAATTTTATAAAGATTTTAAATAAAAAATAATACCAAACCAAAATAATAAATAAAAAAGAAAATAAATTATTTATTTTTTTTAATTAAAAAAATTGAAATAAATTGTAAAAAAAATAAATTATAAAAAAATATTGAATAATAAAAATTGAAAGAAAATATAAAAAATATATATATATAAAAACAATAAAAATGTACAAGAAATGAAAAATAAATTCTATAAAAAATAAAATAATCAAAAAAAATAAATTTTAAAATAATTGATTTTTAAAATATTTCAAATAAAAAATAATAAAAATTATATTAATAAAAAAAATAAATAAAATATGTCAAAAATAAAAAAAATATTTATATAAAAATATTAAATTAATAAAAATTTGTATTGAAATTTAAAAAATAATTTTTTAAATTAAAAAAAAAAATAAATTAATAAATAAGAAAACACAAACTAAGAAAAAAGTAAGCTACTAAAAAATCTGGAGATCATTTTATTGCTGCTCAAAAAAAAATATTAAATATAAAAAAAAAACAAAAAATTAAATAAAAAAATATATAAAAAAATTTTAAAAAAAGAATGAAAAAAACAGAAATCCTTTTTTGCCTTGAAATTCATTTTTTTTCAATTCAAAGCCTTGCAAAAAATTAGGCTTGTGAAAATTTATTTGCTTTCTCAATATTTTTGCGAAATAAGATTTAAAATATTTTGATTATTGTTTTAATATTTATAAAAAAATATATATATATATATATATATATAAAAACTATACAATTGAAGCTCCATTATATGGCTGTCTTTTTTTCAATTTATGACCTCTTAATATTATTGAAATTTAAAAAAATATATATCATATTGAATATTTTTGAAAAATTTTCGAAAAAAAATTACTCTTGGAAGAGGAATTTATTAAAAGGTCATGGTTGTGCAAGCCCATAATGGAATTTCAAATGTTGAATATATGAAATTAAAACAGTTGTGTGGAGACATAGATTTAAAAAAAAAAATTTAAAAAAAAAATTGAAAAAATTAAAAAAAAATTGAAAAAAATTTTTTTTTTAAAAAATAATTTGAATTTTTTTTTCATAAAATCTGTAACCTTAAAAATTAAAGTTTTTTTTCAATACTAAAACATTAGAGACTATTGTTGGCATTATAAAACTTATAGGTTTGTCCAAAAATTGAATTATTTTGGATGGATGGATTTTTTTTTTAAGAAAATCAAATCCCCCTCGGGCCGAAAAATCCTTATAATTATTGAAAAACCAAACTACAAATTCAACATCACATCACATTTTCACAATTTAATTCATGCGCTTAATGCTCTTAATATACACATTTTTATGTTTCAATTCACAGCGAAGTACGGCGTAAATTCCCTAAACTAATTAAATTGGTAAGTTGCAATTTGAAAATTAAAAAAAAAAAAAAATAACCATTCAATTTATTAATTTTTTCTCAACATCTCTACTACTACAAATTTTTAATTTTCTAGGACGGTGACGATTTAGAACCCCAAATCCTTTTCGATGTCAATGACAGTTCGGTTATGCCCAAGGCACAAGCCTCATTTTTATGCGATGCCTCTGGTGCCGATATAATACGACAATTTTTGGAACAATATTTCATCATTTTCGATTCGGATAATCGTCAACCATTGCTGGATGCATATCATGAACAGGCAATGATGTCCATATCTGTACCGCCAGCCAGTCAAGCCGGCCGCTTGACATCATTTTGGAAATATAATCGTAATTTTCGACGCATTGTTAACAACGAGGATGTCTCCAAGTTGAGACAATTGAAAGTTGGCCGTTTGCAGGTGGTATCAACACTGGCCGAATGGCCAAAGACACAACATGATCCGCAATCGTTTTCCGTGGATTTGACATTATTTACAGTAAGTAGATTTTTTAAGGAAACAAATTTAAAACTAAAAATTATAACCAAATTTGTAACCTAAATTTTAGGCCTTAAATATTATAGCTACAAATTAGAGTTCCATGGGGAGCCATAGTAAAATTTAATGAAGAATATGTTTTCCTTTGGCACCAACCGCCTAAAATAAAAACTTCCAAAAAAATTAGGGCCAAACAAAAAATTAAAAAAAAATTAAGCAAATTTGCAACGGATATTTTATATCATAAATATTATAGCTACAAATTAGAGTTCCATGTGAACCCATAGTAGAATTTCTTGAAGAATATGTTTCCTTTGGCACCAACCCCCTCCAATCAAAACTAGTAGCAAAATTAAGATCAAACAGAAAATAACCTAGGAAAAAGTAAAATATTCTTAATAGGCAAATTTGCAACTGATATTTTATACCATAAATATTATAGCTACAAATTAGAGTTCTATGGGGATCCATAGTAGAATTTCCTGAAGAATAATTTTCCCCTTGGCAGCAATACCCTAAAATAAAAACTTCTCTGCAAATTAGGGTCAAACAGAAAGTATTACAAAAATAACCTAAGAAATGGAAAAGTGATATAAAAGCAAATTTGTAACTGAGTTTTTCTATCATAAATATAATAGCTAGAGAATAGACTTATTTGGGGATCTATAGTAGAATTTTATTACGAATATTTTGCTCTTTGGCAGCAATCCTCAAAAGTCAAAACTTCTATAAAAATTAAGGACAAACTGAAAACACTAAAGAAATAACATTAAATAATGATTAGCCCAATTCCGATGGTTATTTTTATCGATAACTATTAGTTCTACATAGATCATTTGTTCCGTGACCCACCCTGGAATTTGATGCTGAACACTTTTTCCATTCACAACATTTCCATAAAATTAAGGTTTCAAAGGATTTTGGGTCAATTTGAAAAATAACCTAAAAATGCGATTTTCCCAAAAATCTCGAACATTATTTCTTGGTATAAATTTTATATCTAGAGATTTTGAGATGTGTGGTTACCTATCATCGATAAAATTTTGTGGCAAATCTATGTCCTCTTGGCATCAACAGCCTAAAATGAAAGATTCCATTAAAAATTGGGTCAAACAGAAATTATAACAGAAATAACCTAAAAAATTCTAAGTCAAATTCCGATTAATTTTTTAAACATTAACTATTAGTTCTACATATTTCATTCGGGAATTTTATGATGAACATTTTGTCCCTTTGGGGAAATTTAAAATAACCTAAAAAATTAAATACCAAATAATAGTTTTTCTTCGGGAATTTTATGATGAACATTTTGTCCCTTTGGGGAAATTTAAAATAACCTAAAAAATTAAATACCAAATCATAGTTTTTCTTCTTATAAATATTATATCTGGATTCAATTGTATTCATATTTTAATTTTCATGTTTTTTTCCTTTCAGCCCAAACTAATATCCTTTACCGTTGCTGGTCTCTTCAAAGAATTTGAATCGTCCACCTCGACCACTGGCGAAATTCGCTATTTCCAAAGACAATTTGTTATTGTACCCGCTGGCGGTGGTTTTTGTATACGCAATGAAATGATTTTGGTAACAAGTGCCACGGGCACCCAGGCACGTACCTTCCTTAAGCCGCCCCCCGCAACAGAGCCACCAGCAGCTGGTACTGCCACAAATCTACCGCCCACAGCTGCAGGCAGTCTACAAAGTCGCTTACAAATGCAACAGCCATCGGTGAGTTTTCGAAAAATGAAAACAAAAAAGACAATTTATTATTGGAATTGTATTTCAAAATTTATTTAAAAAAAAATATTTTTTTTTTAAATTAAAAAAAAATTAAATTAGTTTTGAAAAAATACATTTTAAATTAATTTCGAATCATTAAAACTTATTTATTCACTTATTATTATTTTTTATTATTATTTTTTTTTTTTTTTTTGCAGACCTCCGCAGCCGCCGCTTTAATGCCACAGCCCGCGATACCCACCCAACCAGACGATGCAACAAAAATGCAAATGGTTCAGGCTATGTGCACCCAAAGCAATATGAACATCGAATGGAGTAGAAAGTAAGTCGGCTCCTTCTCCTATCATAATTTTTTTTAAAAATTAATAATTTTTTGGTTACCTTCTTCCAGATGTCTCGAAGAAACCAATTGGGATTACAATCATGCAGCTTTTGTTTTTGATAAATTACACAAGGAGGGTAAAATACCTCCTGAAGCTTTTGTAAAATAAAAAACCTTACCCTAACTAGGATTATATTTAGAGATGAACAAAGTAAAGAAAAAAATACACATTCTTTTTTGACTTTGCAATAATTCGCTTGCAAATACACCACTAAACTCTATTCCACAAATAGGGTTCCATCATCTACTATCTTTTCTGACGGATTTGAAGTTTAATTTTAAGTTTCTTCATCAAAAAATCAAGACTTTGTTTTTTTACAAAATTTCAATAAACTAAAAAATATACAAATATGTGTATGAACTTTTAAGATAACAAAAAACAATAACAAATGGAAATAGAAATTTATTTGGTAAAAAATAATTTTGTAAAGCTGCCGTCATTTCTTAGCTAATAATTCTCCATTAATACTAATTATTGTTGACTCAGTTTTTATATATATATAGAATAAAATAAATACCCTAATTTTCCATTTGAATAAATATTTATAAACCATGTTTTTTAAGTTTTTTTTTAGTAAAATAAATTATAACAATAAAATACAGCAATTTAATAAGACTCTAAATATCATTAAACATTTGATTTTATTATCGAATATTTTTATAAAATTTTTTATAAATTTCCCTCCTCTATTAGCCATTGTTCATATCATCATAGCGAATAACATTATTTCAAAGACTTTTTTGAAGAACGTTCAATGTAAATATTTTCCCCCATTTTTTTATTTAATATAATTTCTCATTCTCTCTCTAATATATACAATAAGATGCTACAATATAAATCTAATAAAAAAAGGGAATGTTAAAGATTTATATACATATAAAAACCAGTAATATTAAATACAAAAAAAAATAATAATAAATTGTAAAATTCTTTAAAACAAACTAAACAATGTGTGGTTTTTGTTTTGCTAAATTTATACCTTAAATATTATAGCTACACCTTCGACTTATTTGGGGACCTATAGTGGAATTCGATGAAGAATATTTTTCACCTTTACACCGATCCGCTCAGGTGAAGACTTCTACAAAAATTAGGGCCAAACGAAAAACACTACAAAAATAAATTTAAAAAATTATATGTCAAATTTCGATGATTTTTTATCGATAATAATTAGTTCTACAAAATTCATTTGTTACGTGACCCACCCTGAAATTTGGTGCTGAACACTTTTTCCTTTCATAACATTTTCATAAAATTAAGGATTCTTAAGAATTTGGATCAACTTAAAAATAACCTCAAAAATTTATAACTATAATTTATAACCATTTTTTTTTTTCATATAAATATTATACCTAGAGATTTGGTTTGTTCGGTGACCTACCACAGAATTTGATGTAGAATACTTTTCTCTTTGGCACCTATACCCTCAAGTAAAAATTTCTATTAAAATTAAGGCCAAACTAAAAGTACTACAGAAATAACCTTTAAAAAATTATATGTCAAATTACGATGATTGTTTTATCGATAACTATTAGTTCTACATAGAATTTGATGCTGAACCCTTTTTCCATGCATAACACTTTCATGAATTGAAAGATTCTAACGAATTTTGGATCAGAAATATTTTGTTCAGATTTATAACCATAATAATGTGAACCCCCCTAATTACCAAACAGACCATTAAATGCAACTCTGATTTCTGATAGTCGACTAAAGTCATGTATAAACTATTAGTTTTGAATGGCAGTTCTGTCTATTTTTTTTATTATTCTATATAGTTTTACATTTGGGAACTGCTCACATTATAGGTATTCTGATTGATTATAATTTTTATTCATAATTGAATTTATATTCGTTTAGCTGCTGTTTTTAACTAATTATTTTTATTTATTTTTTAATTTATTTATCTTTATATTTTAAGAAAAAAACCAAAAATGTATTTCCTTTTATTATTATTTGTAATTGTTTATTGATTTTTTTTATATATTTTTTTAATAAATATTATTTGTTATTAATTTTTTATTATTCAATTTGTATATTTAAATTATTCCATAAACCCCATATTTACACTGCATCAATCAATCAAAAACAAAAGTCGATCTAACTATACCTAACCAATACTGCAGCAACGGCAGTGGCAACGCCGTTATTGTTTGACAGTCAAAAGTCGATCTACAAACACCTAACAACATTCAACAACAACGTCAGAGAGAAACACGTGCAAGCATCGTTTCTGTGCGAGCGGTGCATTTTCCTCCATTTCTTTTTTAATTTTTAATAGAATTCCAAATAAAAAGGAAAAGAAAAATATTTAAATACCGTTCTAACATCTAAACAAACACAATGGGTAAAAAGACCAAAGTTGGAAAAGCCCGTAAAGATAAGTTTTATCAATTGGCCAAAGAAACAGGTATGTGTGCTACAATGGACATGATGGACTCTGTGAGGGCAAATTAAAACAATTTTTTTATTTCATTGACTCGTCCAGGTTATCGTTCACGTGCCGCCTTCAAATTGATACAACTTAATCGTAAATTCGGTTTCTTGCAACAGTCACAGGTATGTATCGATTTGTGTGCTGCCCCTGGTGGTTGGATGCAGGTTGCCAAACACAACATGCCCGTATCGAGTATTGTGATTGGTGTCGATTTATTCCCCATACGTGCCATACCCGGTTGTATTAGTTTGGTGGAAGATATTACCACGGAAAAGTGTCGCCAGTCGTTGACCAAAGAACTGCAATCGTGGAAGGCTGATGTTGTACTGCACGATGGTGCTCCCAATGTGGGTCGTAATTGGCTGCATGATGCCTATCAACAAATCTGTTTGACATTGATGTCTCTGAAATTGGCCACAGAATTTTTACGTGGTGGTGGTTGGTTTGTCACCAAGGTGTTCAGATCGAAAGATTACAATGCCCTTCTGTGGGTGCTGAAGCAATTGTTCAAAAAGGTCCATGCCACCAAACCCAGTGCCTCACGTAAAGAGTCAGCTGAAATTTTCGTTGTATGCCAAGGGTATTTGGCTCCCGATCGTATTGATCCTAAACTGCTGGATCCCAAATATGTTTTCGAGGAGCTGGACTTGGAGGGTGGTAAAAAAGTCAGTCTACTCCACCCCGAGAAACAGAAACGCATCAAGGCCGAAGGTTATACGGAGAGTGATATTGCCCATAGAAATGATTTGGCAGCTTCGGAATTTATGAAAAGTGAAAATGGTTTGGCTGCACTGCAGGGTATTGGTTCGATTACCATCGATGATAAGCGTATTGCCGAACATCCAAAGACCACAGCGGAAATTTTGGAGTGTTGTAAAGACATAAAAGTTTTGGGTCGTAAGGATATTAAGGGCCTTTTGGCTTGGTGGAAGGCCATTAAAGAGGAACTCTTCAAGGAGGGTGAAACCGCTGTCATTGAGGAGGAAGAAGAGGTGCCGGCGGCCCGACCCTTAACCCAAGAAGAAATTGAAGATATGGAAGATGAAGAACTGCAAAAGCAGATACACGAATTGGCCGAAGAGGAGGAAAAGGAATTGAAACGTAAAAAGAAAAAGACCCTGAAGGCCAAGGCTAAACTCCAAGAGAAAATGAATTTGAAAATGGTTATCAAGGGAGATGATGGTCCCAAGGAAGAGGCCGATCAGGAGATATTCGATTTGAAGGAGGTCAAGACCCAAGAGGAACTGGACGAAATGTTGGATGTGGTGCCAGACTTTGAGGTGGAGGGTGAGGTGATGGATATGCCCAAGTTGCCAAAATATAAAAAGTAAGGAACCCCATTCATGGAATGAATCGAGTTTGATTAATAATTTGTGTGTGTGTTTTTCTAGGTACGACAAAGATGACAAACGTTTGGATGATGATGGCAACTACGAAAACGATGATGAACCTGAAATTTCCGCCGATGAGGAAAGTGAAAGTGATTTGGAAAAGGATGGTTTGGGTTTAAGTGATGAAGAAAATCTGGAAGAAGATTCCAAAAAATCCTTAAACAAAAAGAAAAAGAAGAAGGCCGAACATCCTTTGATCAAATCAAGTGATTTCCGCGACAAGGATACCAAACGTCAACAAAGAGTACAGTTGTGGTATGAAAAAGAAAATCTCCAAAATCTCGATAACGACGATGATGATGAAGATTTCGATTTGGATCGTCTGGCCAATGAATATAAAAGCAAAGGTGTTCAAGTACTGGGAGAGACCCAAGATACCAGTAACTCTTCCAATCTGTTGCTGGGTAAAAAGGCCAAACGTCGTGCCCGCCATGCTGAGGCCAAAGAGGAATCCTCTTCCTCGGAATCATCAAGTGATTCCGAAGAGGAGGTTGATGAAGATGATGAGGAAAAAGTCGCTGGCGATATGTCCAAAGAACCCAAGGCCAAGAAGATTCGCCTGACGGAAGAAGAATTGGCATTGGGCGCCATGATGATCAAGGGCAAGAAAACCCGAAGGGATTTAATTGATGGTGCCTGGAATCGTTATGCCTTCAATGATGACAATCTACCATCGTGGTTTGTACAAGACGAACAGGTACATATGACCAAACCCACCCCAGTACCCAAGGAACTGCAAGAGGAATATCAACGTAAGGTACAAGAACTTAATGTGCGACCGATCAAAAAGGTTATGGAGGCCAAGGCCCGCAAACGTAGACGTGCCGTTAAACGTTTGGCCAAGGCCAAGAAAATGGCTGAGAAAATTATGGACAGCCCCGATGCTACAAATCAAGAAAAGGTTCGACAACTTAAGAAGATCTACAAAAAGGCCCAAGAGAAAAAGAAGGAAGTCACATATGTTGTGGCCAAGAAACATCAAACAGGACGGCGGGCCAAGCGTCCGGCTGGTGTTAAGGGTCGTTATAAGGTTGTAGATCCGCGTGAGAAGAAGGATAAGCGTGCCCTGAAAGCCAAGGATAAAAAATCCAAAGGTAAAGGCAAGGGAAAGGGACGTAAATAGATAAAAAACATTGTGCTTCTTTAGGTTTTACTAAATAATAAATATTAGTTAAGTTTTAATGTAAATTAATAATATTTTTATAAATAAATAAAACAAATATTTAGTAAAGAAAAAAAAAACAAATACATTTTTGAGGTTATGTTTGCAAATTTTCAGATTTGTCTAAAGTCTTCCGAAATACTTTATTTTAGGGTTAAAGTATCAAAGAAGTAAATGTTCTTTGGCAAATTTCACTATGAGTCCATGAACAAAAGAAGCCTGTAGAATCATTCAATAAAGGCGAAATTTCACGTTTTTAAGGTTATGTGCGGAAATTTTTAGATTTGGCCAAAATCTTCTTGAATATTTCATTGTAGAGTTTTAGTTTCAAAGGAGAAAATGTTCTTCAGAAGATTTCAATATGGGTCGCCGAACAAAAGATATCTGTTAGAATGAAAAAAAATCAATTTTTGAGGTTAAGTCCGATGTTTTACGAATTTTGACAATATTTCCGAGAATGCCACATTTTACGGTTATAGTTTCAAAGCAGAAAATGTTCTTTAAAAGATTTCATTATGGCTCGCCGAACAAAAGACACCTGTAAAACCATTAAATGTAGGAGAAAAAATAAGATTTTGAGGTTATGTTGGAACATTTTAAGTTTTGTCCAAAATATGCCAGAGTTCTACATGTTATGGTCATAGTTTTAAAGGAGAAAATAATCCTTGGAAGATTTCAATGTCGAAACCCATAAAACTAATGTGGAAACCCATAAAACCATCCAATGTAGAAGAAAAAATTAGATTTTAAGGTTATGTTCGAACAACTTTCCGATTTGTTCAAAAGATGCCAGAATTCTAAATTTTAGGGTCATAGTTTTAAAGGAGAAAATATTCTTCGGAAAATTTCACTATGAGTCGCCGAACAAAAGAAGGCTGTAAAGCCATTACAGTGAAAAATATTTTAAATTTTTGAGTCCGAAAGAAAAAATCAATTTTTTGAGGTTAATTTTTTTCATTACATTTGTTGATTTTATTTTTACTGAAAATAAATAAGTTTTTTTAATGTTAGTAGTCGAGTTAACAACAATTTGGCCAAAAATATACATACGTAACATTTACAAAATTAAGAGGGGCGGGAGGTCATGTTCAGGGTATATAATAATCATCATGTGGTAACGAAGTATCACAGTACAACTCAAGATTTTATGTTAAATGTTTTCTTATTTCGAAAAAAAAGGAAAACAATATTTTGAAATTTATGACTTAGAACATGCACAGCAGTTTCCACACTACAATATTGAATACTTCAAAATACATTTTTTTTTTTTTGGGTGAGGAAATCCGAAAATAATTTTTCTAGCCATTTTAAATATACAAAACAAAACACTTCGAATAGTTGCGATTTAATCAACCGACCGGTTACCCACACTATTCTCATCTATATCACTACCTGAACTTAGACTACGTGATATCGTTGTGGAATTCGAATTCAGTCCACGATCCAAATTATAATATTGTACAACTTTTTGTGGAGGACGACTGGATATAACTTCCGTGATTTGAGTAACAACCCATTTGGTTAGCTTTATAACAGCAATATGTGCAGCAAATTGTAATATAATGGCCCCAAAACCCTTATATAGTCCGGCAAACCCCTCTGTTGCCACTGTGGTGCGATAACAATCCACAGCTCCCTGATAATTGGTGAGTATGGGCACAACGGCATAACCATTATCCAGATTATCAATAATGGTGCGGGTACCCTGCAACTGGATGCGGTGTAAAATTGTTTCCAATGGGAAAAATATAACTTCGGTTGTCAGCATCGATATTAGATTCGAATAGATTTCAACATTTTGTGTTTCGAGAGAGTCATCTTTAAATTTGGCGCCCTTACGTTCCTGGGCCTGTTGGATGCGTCGTCGCATGATGCGTGATGAAATGCCTTTAATAACTAAACTGTAAAAATAGAATACAATCATGATTAGGCAAACCACAAAAAAAACATTGAGGTTATGTTCGAAGATTAGGCCAAAAACATCCACAAAATTTTATTTTAGAACAATGGTATAAACATCCTAAAACAATATCTGTGTATCATTTACATTTAAGAAAAAAAATCAATTTTTGAGGTTATGTTCGAACTCGCAAAAAACAAAAAAAACATTATGTTCGAAAATTAGGTCAACATTTTTTTTCAGTATTGAGGTTAGGTTTTTGTTAGATGACAATTTCTCCCAGATAACTTGATTTTAGAGGAAATGTTCTAATGGAGGATATGTTCTACAATAAATTTCTCTATAAGTCACCTAACAAAAGAACTCCGCAACTGTAATAGATAATCGGGAAACTTAGGAAACATAATTTTTTTCAGTATTGAGATTAGGTTTTTGTTTGGTGGCCATTTCTCCAAGATAACTAGATTTTAGATGAAATATTCTAATGGAGAATATATTCCGTTTTAAATTTCACTATAAGTAACCTAACAAAAGAACTCCGCAACTGTAATAAATAATCGGGAAAATTTCAATAAAAGTTAGGAAACATAATTTTTTTAGATTGAGGTTAGGTTTTTGTTTGGAGACCATTTCTCCCAGATAACTTGGTTTTAGAGGAAATGTTCTAACGGAGGATATATTCTCCATAAAATTTCACTAGAAGTCTCCCCACAAATGAAGTCTGTAGATGCATGGGATAACCAATAAAATAATGAAAACAAAATTCGTGTCTTACCCAAATAGATATTTTGTTATACCCACACCAATCGTGGGTCCAATTAAACACCATACTGGTAACATGCGTCCCTTCTGTGGTGATTTCCAATAGAGCAAACGTAAACTGCCCTCACGGAATACATCAAAAAGGCCCGGTTTTTCGCTGGCAATATCACTTTGAACACTCTCCACCAAGGATGCAGCATAGAAAGGCATAACAACAGCAATGCTAATGCTAAAAATTATGAAATAAAAAGGTTAATTGATTTTACAAATTGAAAAGAATCAGAAAACAGCAGGTTACCATTTTAAAATGACATGTTGGCCAAAACGTTTTAATGAGGTGCGGCTATCCACTTCTCTGCAAAGAGGGAACATTATTTAAAAAAATTCAAATTCAAATCTTGCTGATCATCACGGCAATCTTACTTAGGCCATGATGTTACTTTTGATATAACATCATCCACCGCCATGGACATGCCGCGTACCAATAGGCAACTACCCAAACCCTTCCATAAAGTGGTGACACCCTGACGTCTATGTAAATGTATTATGGAAGGCATTAATGCAAATGGATGCAGATGATATCTGAAGGAAACAAAGAGAAGAAGATTTTTTTAATTCAAAATAATTTGGAAAAATAAATATCATTACCTTTGTGAGGCATTATACACCTGGCACTGACGTCTTAGTACTATAAAAGGATGTGATAGCAGATTTTCGGTAACCAAACTAACCCATTGAACACCAATTCCCAAATATTTACGTATTGAGATTTCTAAATAGATATAATATTAAGTAATGTTTGATAATACAGTTAAAATAAATTTAAATTTTTTGTTTTTTTTTTTTTTTAATTAAAAAAAAATATTAAACCAAAAGGACGAAGGTCATGCATGAAGGTACAACAACATATAATTAGGTTACATACTTTTTGTATCATCAAAACTTAATAAGTTCGTAACACTGTGCTGCTCGGGATACTCTAATATATATACATATATATAGATGGTTGGGGAGCGTATGGTGGTGGTGTTGGTGGTGTAACACAAAACAAGGCATAAACAAAAACATGACAACTAAATAAAACAAAAAATAAATTCATTTCTTCTTCCGGCTTACCATCTTCCTGACTGTCATAGAAATTTTCCAATGCCCGGTGTTTTTCAATTGGCAAAGACAAATCCCGTTCCGAATTGACATTTTTCAGTCCAGAATCTGGACCAGAATTGAGACCAGCCATATATATTTGATATTGGTCATCGGGCAATTGGAATCTGCGAAGAGGAAAAAGTATTTAAACTTGCAAAAATTTACATCTAACCGAAAAAAATACTCACTGCATTTGTGATTGTCTTTGATAGGGCATACCAGTAGTGCTGCTGCTACTCGGCGGTGGAAACTCACCTGCCGCATATGAACCGTAGACATTACGTGGACGTTCTGGCCGTTGGTCAGTCATATCTTCACCGGGTTCCATTGCCTTTTGATTGCTGGCATACCTTTAATTGGGGAGGGAGGATTAGTATTTTTAATCAATTTGTTTTATTTCAATAGTTGTTGTTGTTTAGATTTTTGGTTGGAAATTTACATTAAGGTTGAATAATTGTTCAGGCCTGCCATTAGGAAATAGACACAGAGAATTTGCAAATAGATATATTTACGGTAATTTCTCCAGTTCCGGGTTCCTGTTTTTCTGTCCACAGCAACTCCAAAATATCCCAATCTGTGTTTTGTAAGGAATAAACCTTTACTTCCCGGAATATGTGCTGAGCTAAAAAGATTCAATTCACCCAAAAAAATATCCCAAAATATTTCGTTGAAGTCGATAGGAAATTGTCAATTGCAAAAAGAACGGTGATGCCATATCACTGTTAACCAAATATAAACAAAGAGAAACAGTGTTACCCTCAGAGAAACAGCTGTTCGCTCCCCATGACATATTCACATGAAAACAAACACATTTAGTCAAAAGTCGATCTAGTGATCCCTATGCGGTGCTCATTGAATTGCTGAGAGAGCGACATTCATTGTGAAAGAGCATTGGCTTTTTTTCTTATTTTATTAATTAAATAATAAAATAAAACATGATTAAAACATTAATTTTAGATCTAGGTAGATTAAGGTGAGTTACTTTTACAAGCAGAAACACAAAAATACCGCTTAAGCTATGGAAATTTCTAACCTCAAATTTTTGTTTTGTTTTCGTGCTGTGGCAAAAGGCTCTCTCCAGTGGCTGTTACACAAGTACGCGAAAAGGGCCAATTGAGTAGACCCCATTTAAGGAATCCATCATGGTTTTTACGCAAGGAACGGAAGGTGGGTTCAATGGAAATTCAAAAAAAGAATGACTATAAACATTAATTGTTTACCCTCTCCCACCTAAATAGATGCGTGACAATCATGTCACATCGGAAAACAAATCATTTGTCCAAGAAATCGTTCAGGATAAATATGGACCACCGGCTCTTATCAAAGGTGTGGCCACCTATGATCAATCCAAACGTGAGGAATTGGTAAAGACAGAAAAACTTGAAACTGAACCATGGACATCTTCGTCAAGGCGTACCGGTTTAATTGCCCGTAAAATCGGCCAATATCCCTTATGGTTGAAGAATGGTGAAAAGATACGCACAACCCTACTGCAAATTGTGGATAATCATGTTGTTAAATATATACCGCCGGAATTGTATCGACCTGCCCAGGTACCCAGTGTGGCAAAGCTGAATAGTTATGGTTGTTTGTTGGTGGGTGCAGAGAGTTGTGACCCCTCCACCTTAACCAAGGAATATTGTGGTCTCTTCAAGGATTCTGGTCTTTTGCCCAAGAAACATTTGGTACGCTTTTTGGTAACACCAAATGCAGCCATACCCGTCGGCACACCATTGAATGTCAATCATTTCCGGGTGGGTGATTATGTTGATGTTAGAGGGAAAACGTGAGTGAAAATGGGACACAATTTTTGAAGACATTTTTAAATACCTGAATTTTCTTCCAGTGTCGATCATGGCTTCCAAGGTGTTGTCAAACGCCACGGTTTCAAGGGTATGCCGGCCTCTCATGGTGTCACCAAAACTCATCGACGTCCCGGTAACATTGGTGGCGGTGGTGAAAAGGGCCGTGTCTGGCCTGGTACCAAACTGCCCGGTCACATGGGTAACAGATGGCGCATTGCCAAGGGTCTGCGCATTTGGCGCATCAACACAAAGTATAATGTTATGTGGGTTAGTGGTAGTGCCATTCCCGGCTCCACAAATGGTCTCGTCTACATTTATGATACAATATTGCCATTGAGGAAACATACCACCGCACCACCATTCCCCACAATGTTCGATGTGGCGCAGGAGGGTCCAGATGACATTTGGTTTGATGCTGTGCATAATTTCAAAGATGAAACCATTACCTTCCAACCGGAGGAGTAGTAAAATGCAATGCCGCCTACTTATGCTTTAGTTTATTTTATTTACAACTTTTCTTTTTTGTTGAAAAAAAAAACGGAAATAAATTTGTTAACAATTATTAATATTTAAGTAATCCTATTTGGTTATTTTTTCCCCTACAAGTTGCTAGATTTTTGGAACACATAAAAATGATCATCATCGTCATTTTCGGCATTTGGTAACATTTTTAGCTTTCCCTCCTTTTGCAGTTTGGTCAAATGATGACTAACATTATAGGCTGCCGCTGGCCACAACTGTTCCGGTGTATCCTTATAGACAATTTTCACCACATCCATTGCCTGCATTTTCTGGTCCTTGCGTTCAACAAAACAATTGAATATTTGTTGCTCCCGTTGATTGCGATGATTGATGTAGTATTTGATTTTCTCCAAAGGGTCCGCAATGATATTACCATGGCCGGGATAGATGACAGAGGGTTTGAGGTTTAGAATCTTCTCCAAACTTTTCATGTAATCATAAAGATCCTCAAATACTGCTGTACCCTCACCTAAATAGACCAACAACAAATTAGAATAAATTCTTTTTATCGAGTTTCTCCAAATTCTTTACCCAATATACAATCACCACTAAACAGGGTACCCTCCTCAGTGGTCAAGATCACATGATCTGTGGTATGGCCTGGGGTATGATGTATTTTCACCTTACCACCCTCCACCTCAAAGACTTGTTGATCCTGCAACTTTTCCACTTTAATATCTTTAGGTATTTCGGGGCAGATATCTTCGGCATCGGTACGTGGAAATTTGAATACCTGGCAATCTTTATGAAGATTAACTTTAAATATTATGGAGGAAAAAAGTGGGAAATTATATAAAATGAAACCCTCTTGACACCTCATCGCAATAAAACAACACACATGGAACTGCACAATGATAACAAAAAAATTGGGAAACAAAAATACTTACCTTTATCACCACATATTTTCAAAACATCCTTAACACCGCCCACATGATCATGATGCCAATGTGTCAATAAAATGGTACCAATGGACGCCTTTTCTTCTTTCAATACGGTATTTAGGTGTTTGATATATTCCGGTACATCTGGGTCGCCAGTATCAATTAAAATCCGCCTTAAAAAACAAGCGGTCATTGCAGAGTAATTTCTAATAAATCAATTAACTTACTTTTTACCCGTTCCTATGAGATAGGTGTTTGTACCCTGTAATGTCATATGACCGGGATTGCATCCCAAAATTCTTATAATGGAAGAGGATAGACGTGTTACCGGCGGAATTAGAGCCATTCTTGGTGTCTGCCGCAACTCAATGTACTTTGGAATGGGTGTTTTTGTTATCAATAAAAAAATCAGCTGTTTATTAATTTTATTCCAACAGATTTAAAAGGGGTAGTGAAGGTGGAGAGGTGTTCAACATGAAGATTTATTTAATATACCTCACCCCTCTTAACAAATTCAAAAATTTCAAGCCAAATAGAGGGATCAAAAAATGTAGGCATCAAAAGATCGATTTTTGATGTATTACATTTTTTGTTTCAAAGACACATAATTGAATATATATATATATATATATATATATATATTTGTTGGCTTTTCTTGCCCTTCTTTTAACTGTAATTGTAATTAATTCAAACGATTCCTTTCAGCTGCTTTAAATACCGAATTAGGGATCAAGAGATCGTTTTTTGACACTAATGAAAACGAATAGGGGTCAAGAGATCGGTTTTTTGACACTAAAAGAAAAGTAATAGAGATCAATAGATCGTTTAATGGTACCATAACGTTTTCTTTTTGTTTAAAGTGATGGATTAAAATCTCATGTTTTATCTTGTTTTTGATGAATCGCTTTGCCTTTGCAACATATTTTTCTGCAACAGTTGTTTGTTGTAGAAATTCGCCTATGCGGCAGAGTATGCCATGGCGTCTAATAAAATCCATTGGATTTATGAATATGTCATGGAAAATGTCAACAGTTTGCCTCCGTCAGAATATAAGTTGCCAGTAATTTGTATTTGCCATATTTTCTCAATTGTTTTTTTTTTTGTAATTTGAATTGTGAAATTTCAATATTTTTTTATAGAATTCCATTCAAATGTCTTTCATTGTGGATAAAAATAATTACAAATTGTTGGAATTTGCCGCCGAAGTTATGGTCTATTTTGAAAAACATAAAATAATAGAAATCGCCAAGGTATGTCAAACAATATTCTAATAAAATTTTGTAAAAAAATTGGGGTAGAGATTGAAAAAAAAATATTTCAGAGAATTTTGATAGAATGTGCACTAGAACGTCCCCGTAATACCCAGTTATGGATTGCAAAAAATATTAAACGTATTGCTGTAGAAATTTATGATGATTGTTTGAAGGGGGGAAAATGTGGTATGGTGGCCAGCTTAAATATGACACCCCGTTATCTATATCGTGTAGTTATGTTTGGTAGGCATGGTTCGGGTCGGAAAACACAAGCCCAATATTTGATAAAACGTTTTAATTTGATTTTAAGTAAGTTAAATATTTAAATTAAATTTAAAATATTATTTTGATGTTGAAAAATTAGTTGATGCTGAAAAATTAATATATCAACATTTAAGAGGTGATGATACGGCACCTCATGATCCTTTGGCTCGAGAATTGCAGCGTGCATTTTATTATGATAATTGCCAGGCGAAATTGCAAGCTTTGGCCAATATTATTTCCAGACGTTTGTTGGATTGTGATTGTTTGCGACATGGTTGGATTTTAATAAATTTTCCCCATACTTTGCAAGATATTCAAGAACTAATGGAGAGATTTAAAATACCACCCAATAAATTTGTCTATTTAAGGTGTCCCGAAAAGATGTGCATGCTAAGGCTTATAAATATGCCAAATATGAAAGAAACATTGCAAGCAAATTGTGATTATTATGAACAGAAGGTAAGAATTGGCTAAAGACCTGAAAAAAACTGATCATATGGAATGTATTTTGACAGCACGAGATTGTTTCAGTTGTATCAGCTAATCCCGCACATTCCACCAATAGAACAGCTGATACATCTGCCTGATATTTGACATTTCATTGCACCAAGAGATCAGCTGACACGTCCATTTTATAAAATCTAAATTGATTCATTGAAGTTTTTCTTTTAATTTAATTAAACTATCCTCTCCAGATGCGTTTTTTCAATAATCAAGAACCACAAATTGAATCATATCTCATGAAGCGTCAAGAAACTATTATCGTAGATGCCTCACAGCCAACGAATGTGGTAAAAACCGAGATGTTATCACTAATCGAGAAAACACCATATCTCATGGGATTTAAACATGATCTAATAGAAAAATAATCTATATAACGTCACATTAATATTTTTTGAAGCAACGTGCAAATATTAAAAAAATTACTCTTGTTATCTGTTTATTTTAAAAATCTAATCTGTAATCTTTGGTTATAATAAAAAATATCTCCTGAGTTATAAACAAATGCAAACAGATGATTGTCATAATATTTTATTTAACTTATTTTTTACAATTATTTGTACAAAATTTCTAACTAAATATTTGTGCCATGGCACCTCAATTAATTTGACATTATCTGACCCTTTATTTACATATTTTTTTCTAATAAAAAAAAAAACAATTAATTAATTTACGTTATTCACACATTCCTGTTGCTCTATTTTTTTTAAACATGATTTGTCAACAATTTGCGTCGTTCTCGCTCTCTCTCTCTCTCTCTCTCTCTCTCACATACTATTTAAATCTTCTATGACAAAACGGTTTTTTGTGTTTGAGAGGGGGACAAGAATTTAATGTCAACAAAAGAACAACTCATCAGCATTAAAATTATCTATTCAGGGAATTTTTGTTGCTGTTCCCAGTGACGAACGCGCCCTTGCAAAACTCTTTTTTTTTTGTGAGATTCTTTCATTCCCCCCAAACGTCATGTTACGCACAAACATTATTTTGTTGTGGTTATTACTCATTCACTTTTGTGTTGGTGTTGTAGCTGTTGTTTGCATATACATGCATATGTATATACAACAAAACAACCCACATACCGCCCGACCCACCACAACAATGCCTGCTTGCTTTATTTTGCCGTTTTCTCTTACCTTTTCTTTCCTTTCTTTCCGTACTAAATTTGAAAATAAGAAAAGTAAACAATAAATGCCTTAAGTAAAGCAAAGGAAAAACATTTTGTTTTTGCATGACTCGTTTTGTATATTCCAGCGCGCTGATATCTATCACGTCTCCCCAGAAAATATAATTTGTAAAATTTTTGCACACTTTTTTCCCCAAGATAACGGAAGGTGGTCTCCTCCCTTTTCACAACCATTCATTGACCAATTTTTTTCTGCATTTCTACTTTTTCTATATTTTTGCTACTACACTCATCTGTCTCTCTCATCTATTAGCTGTCAACCATGCACAGTGGCATGATTTGCCATGCTAAAAAGGAGTAAATTATGAAGTAACGGTTTATCAGGCCTGATTTACATTAGGTGATTTTGCATGCGGAAATTGTCAGTTTGTGGGCCGTGAGAGAGGTAAATGGTTACAATACAGAGTGGAGACAATTCAAATTGTATTATGTAGGTAAATAAGGACTTGTTTTTTGCTTTTTCAATAAAAAAAAAAAATTAAATGAAATTTTAAATTAAAATCATGAAATGAAATTTTAAATAATAATCAAACAAAAATTCGGTTATTTTTTTAATAAATATCGTTGCGTATGAGATTTTTATTATGAACGAATTTTTCTTGGAAAAACAATTCAGCTCAGGTTTTGCTATAAATACAATTATTTTAAATTAAAAATATGTACAGAGGTTCCCTTAGGGTCGAATTTTGCACAGCAAAATAATTCAGCTAGGTTTTGCTTAAGAAAAACATCTATATTGTGATTAGTAGTGATCACTTGACCGAAGTGTAAGATTTATTTGATAACTGATGAACTCGATTCCAGAAATTATAATATTTATATAATATTATATATAATATTAAATATAATATATTATATTATAATATTTATATATTATTTAAAAATTATTTTTTATGGCCTTTTTAAAAAATCCATGCCATAAAAAAATAATTTTTACAAAATCCACGCCTTGTTGATTTTGTAAAAATTATTTTTTTATGGCGTGGATTTTTTAAAAATTATTTTTTTCAGATTCCCATAGGGCGTGGATTTTTTAAAAATTATTTTTTAGATTCTCATATGGCGTGGATTTTTTAAAAATTATTTTTTTATGGCATGGATTTTTTTTAAATTATTTTTTTATGGCATGGATTTTTTAAAAAATATTTTTTAAGGCCTAAACTGGAAAATGTTCAACAAAATTTTACAACATTACAAACTAAAATAGCACTATACAGTGAGTGTAATAAGTATTTTGCCTCAATAAAAATTTGAAAAAAAATCCAATATATACGCCTAAAGCCAGCAAACTAAAGATGTAAAATGAATTATGTATAATGGAGTATGTTTGTGGACATATTTAGATCGTATTTCTGCAAGAATCACTGCGAAAGACCTATTGGTCTCGAAGATATCGGCCGAAATATATAACAATCCAAAAATGTTTATCACAAAAAAGTATTTTGCTTTTTATTATTATTTTAGAAAAAATTGTTACATAGAACACGTTTGGTCTTTTTGTGGTTACCATTGCGGGTAACGACATACTATAAGCGATTTGGCAACGATTCCAATAAACGACGGCATTTTTCGCGAGTATTTTCTCACATTTACGTTCAATACATTCTGCAGCAACATTTCATTCAATATTTGGTAATTTCTCGTCCTAATCTCAAAATCAGAGCATTAAATATAGTCGTCGGGGCTTCAAAACACCCCAAATATGTTAAGAATAATAAAAAGGAGGTTTTACAAAATATATCGCGAGGACAGGACCTTAAAAACTATTAAAACCAAAATCCGACAAACAAATTATTTAAAAAAATGTCGCGAAACCCCATTTTTCTAACTTCGAAAACTTTATGGTTCATTTTTATTGATCTAGGAACCAAAATATACGATGAAAATAGCGATAAGGAGGTCAGATTCAAAGATATCGACGGTTTTCTGGCAATAGAAATACATCTTATTTCGAAAATAAATAGATCGACCAGTTTATTCCCTACTGCATTTTATTCGCAACTGATGGTGTTAATCGGAGATAAAATATAGAATGCGTATTCGCCACCAGCAACCACAGTTTTTCAAAAGACAATAGGATTTCACGAATAATGATGTTTTCTCCCAACTTCATGTATTGTTGTTTATTACTATTGTTTTAGAACTGTCCATATCTTTGAATCTGACCCCCTTATTGGTATTTCCATTGCATATATTGGTTCCTAGATCAATATTACTGGACCATACAAATTTCGAAGTCAGAAAAATTGGGTTTCGCGAATTTTTTTAAATAATTTGTTTGTCGGATTTTGGTTTTTATAGTTTTTAAGGTTCTGTCCTCGCGTTATATTTGGCAAAACCTCTTCTTTATTATTCTAAACATATTTGGGATGTTTTGAAGCCGCAATGACTATGTTTAATACTCTCATCTTAAGATTAGGACGAGAAAATACCAAATATTAAATGAAATACTGATGGAGAATGTATTGAATGTAAATGTGAGAAAATACCCACGAAAAAATGCCGTGATGTAATGAAATCGTGGTCAAATCGCTTATAGTATGTGGTTAACCGCAATTGTAACTATAAAAAGACCAAACGTGTCCAATGTAAATTTTTTTTTTAAAATAATAATAAAAAGCAAAATACTTTTTTGTGATAAACATTTTTGGATTATTATATATTTCGGCCGATATCTTCGAGACCAATAGGTCTTTCGCTGTGATTCTTGCAGAAATACGATCTAAATATGTCCACAAATGTACTCCATCATACATAAGTCATTTTACATCTTTAGTTTGCTGGCTTCAGACGTATATATTGGAATTTTTTCAAATTTTTATTGAGGCAAAATACTTTTTACACTCACTGTATATGCATATAAACAACATATTTTCAATAAACAATTGATGCTTTACATCGCCTTACTTTTTTTAATATTACAAACTCGTCGTTATTATTATTTTATCTATAATTCTTTTCCGTTTCATTTTACCATGACTAACACCTATTTTTATGGCCCCCTAGCGATTGTAATCTTATTTAATGTAAACATGTCATAAAACAAGTAGGCATTAACAGCAACAACAACAAAACAGCAACACCACCAACAACAACAACATGAATGCGACCATTGTTGTTTATTTATAAACTCAGTGCAATGGCATCTCGGTACTGTTGTACTCATTTACTTCATTTACTCATTCTCGTGACACTGTGTCATTTCATTTAGTCATTCATGTTATTCCTTTTTCTCGTTGTTGCTGTGACTGAGAGAGAGAACGTTACTCTATAGACATTTTAATTGAGAAACAGCTGATAGAAGAACAACCACACATAATAAAACGTCAAAAAATTGATGTACAGCAATAGAAACAAGAAACAACACCTCTCGCAGGATTTACTACCGCCCGCAGTAAACGAATCAAGAACTGAAAAAAACACACACACAAGAATAAAAAAGAAAAGAGCAGAACAAGACACGAATAAACATTGATTTTTGCAGAAATTAATTGAAAGAACATTACGGGAAATAATTGTTTGTAGTTAGCAGCCGCCGTTGTTTTTTTGTTCGCCTTGCTTTTTGGAGAAACCAAAGAAAAGAGTGTGCTGTGGTGTGGTGTAAAAGAAAAAAAATCGGTTTACTTTGAAAAATCTATACTCGTTGGTGTGTAGGACCCGACGAAAAACATGGATAAGAAAGGTTCAGGTTCGTCCGAACCACGTATACTGAAAAAGAAACACTTTCGTGTCAAACACCAAAAGGTAAAGCTATTCCGTGCTAATGAGCCCATACTCAGTGTCCTGATGTGGGGTATAGATCACACGATTAACGAGCTGAGCCATGTGAATATACCTGTGATGCTGTTGCCGGATGATTTCCGGGCCTACTCTAAGATTAAGGTCGATAATCACTTGTTCAACAAGGAGAACATGCCCTCGCATTTTAAGGTTAAGGAATACTGTCCATTGGTGTTTCGCAATTTGCGCGAACGTTTCGGCGTCGACGATGTGGACTATCGCGAATCGCTGACCCGTTCCCAGCCCGTACGCATCGATTCATCGGGCAAATCTGGAGCCCAGTTCTACGAGAGCTACAACAAGTTCTTCATCATTAAGAGTTTGACTTCGGAGGAAATCGAACGCATGCATGCATTTCTAAAGCAGTACCACCCCTATGTGGTGGAACGTCACGGCAACACCTTGTTGCCCCAATACCTGGGTATGTACCGCATCACCGTGGAGAGCGTACAGTATTATTTTGGTGTGATGCGCAACGTCTTCAGCTCCAGCCTGACCATACACAAGAAGTTCGATCTGAAGGGCAGCACCGTAGACCGCGAGGCATCCGAAAAGGAATTGGAAAAGCCATTGCCAACCTATAAAGATAATGATTTCATCAAGCAAAAGGTACGCATCGAAATTGGCGAGGAGGCCAAGAAGAAACTTATGGATGTGCTGACCAACGATGTGGAACTGCTGACAAAACTACACATAATGGACTACTCACTGCTGGTGGGCCTACACGACTGTGTTCGGGCCGAGGAGGAGGAGTTGCAGGGTGGTAACCCCCAAAGTGCTGCCGGACGCAGCGAGAACAGTGACAGTGAGGAGGGTGACAGCGGTGAACGATGGACCTACAATACGCCCCCAGATTCGCCACGATGCGCCCAGTACAAGGAGGTGGTGTACGAGGTGGACAAGTATGCAATTCCCAGTATTGAAGAGAGACGTGAGATTTATTTCATTGCCATTATCGATGTGTTGACTCAGTATGGCGTCAAGAAGCAGGCCGCGAAGGCTGCCAAGACGGTCAAGTATGGCAGTAACGTGGATGGTATATCGACATGCGATCCCGAACAGTATGCCAAAAGATTTCTCGATTTCATGGATAAGGCCATAGAATAAGAATTATTAAAAAAAAACGTAAATGTAACGTATAAAATTACTACAACTACTACTCTTATTTACTGTATTTATAACTTAAAACAAAAAACGACGACGACAAGAAACAAAAAAAAAACCAACTCACAACAAAATTATTATTATTATAAAAATAACAAAACAAAGAAGAAAGTGAAGAAAAACATTTAAGCGCGATGATGATGAGTAAACATATTAAATAAATAATAAAAATTAAACAATAAACTTCTTAAATTTTTATTGTAATGGGTATAAAAAATCCACGCCTGTTTGGGCTGATGGTCCCCTAAAAAAATTTTTCTTTAAAAATCCACGCAAGTTTGGGCTGATGGTCACCTAAAAAAAAAATTCTTTAAAAATCCACGCAAGTTTGGGCTGATGGTCACCTAAAAAAAAAATTCTTTAAAAATCCAAGCTTAGGGATCCGATACTTCTTGAAAAAATTTTCTTTAAAAATCCACGCATGTTTTAGGTACTTCAAAAAATATTCTTTAAAAATCCACGCCTGTTTGGGCTGATGGTCCTCTAGAAAAAATATTTAAAAATCCAAGCCTATTTTTGAGATGGTCCTCTAGAAAATAAAAAAACCACGCCTGTTTGGGCTTTAAAAAACCACGCCTGTTTGGGCTGATGGACCTCTAGAAAATATTCTTTAAAAATCCACGCCTGTTTGGGCTGATGGCCCTCTAGAAAATAATCTTTAAAAATCCACGCCTGTTTGTGCTGATGGTCCTCTAGAAAATATTCTTTAAAAAACCACGCCTGTTTGGGCTGATGGACCTCTAGAAAATATTCTTTAAAAATCCACGCCTGTTTGGGCT